TTTCGTTAAATGTTAGTCATGGGTGCCGCAGGAGGGCGCGATGGGGAACTTTGCCATCTATCTGACATGCGATATCCTTGCGTGTTGCAATCACTACAATTAATTCTGTCCGGGCAAGGTCTGTTTTGCCTAGAATGGATAATGTCCACGTCTCAACAAATTCTACACTGGATTGATGATAAAATTTGATATAAAAATCGTAGTTGACAGTCGCCGACTCATCTATATTCTCAGCTACCAAACTTTAACAACCGCCCCTTTGTTATTAAAAACCATCACATTAAACACGTTCGCCTGATTAAGCGACTGGTTCCCACAAAGTGAACAGTAAAACCGGATTTCCGCTTACCTTGTTTTCTTTCACAGTAGAAGGAAGTACCCCTTACGAACCTGTATTGTCACGAATTCGGTGTTTCGCACGCAAATACAGGAAAGTAGAAGCTCTTAGATATTCAAAGGAAAAGTGTAGATAAAAATGAGTAGGAGAGACTTAAGGACATTCAAATTGATCTTTTCTGGTACAAAATTTTACTGAAACAGAAGCTACAATTGGAAAGCTTGACTGTGGTATATGCCCCATCCAAATGTACTCGAGTAAGGCCACATGTGACTCCTCAACAAATATTTTTGCTATCTTCATAGTTATAAGAACCAACAAGATATTCAAATGAAAATAAATAAATTTGAAGTGGATTTTATTCATCAGTGCGTGACATGGAAATTTTGGACTGAATTCGACCCCCTGATGTTGGCGCAACTGCGATAATGAGATAAAAAAACAGATGAAAAAATTAAAAAACTATGAATTCGGCTACAGTTGATGCAAATAATCAGGAAGGGAGTAATTCGAGTTTTTCCAAAAAAGAGTTGTTTAGCCATTGAAAGTTAATTTATTTTAAGCTTGTCAGACTGAATCGGGAGAGAACAGTGAAATTAAGATATCATAGAATCTGTCCTGGCTGCTTCTAACCTGACCGTGATTTACGTAAAGAATCAAAATAGAAAATCATATCTTTACACGTTCTCATTCTTTCTAAAATGAGCAATTACATTTTGGGCGGACTCGAAAGTACCTGTAAGGAGGTTGGTAAAGAAGGTACGTTTCTAAAGAAACCGTGGTACTGCGTGGGTAGGAGAGTATAACAGGGTAATCTAGTCAGTAATCGACCGAGTTGCTAACGTAAATTGGCCACGGTTAACAATTTAAAAGCTGACGTTTCGCGCGTTAGCCCTTCATCAGGGCGATCGGAGGAATTCAGGGTTGTGTGTGGGTTTATATACAGAAAATGGAGCTACGCCATCGGTGGAAATCTAGTGACAAGAGAACAAGAATAAATTACAAAATTTAGAATAAATTAATTGAATGTAAAGCGCTCGTTGTTACCGTTGGGATTAAGAGTGCCGATTTGAAGTTTTGTTTTAGAGTTTTGCGGCTTTCCGTACTGCCTAGCGTAGGGAAAGGCCGCAAACTGCCATATGCTGCCTAGAATGATTAGGGAGATTAAAGTGTCTTGCGACTAGTTCGGATATGTCCTTGTCATTTCTTTCTACGTCGCGAAGGTGTTCTCGGAATCGGTCACCAAGTCGTCTCCCTGTTTCACCAATGTATAGCTTTTTGCAATATGGACAATGAATGCAGTGAATGACATTGGCGTAGGTGCACGTGAAGTGATCAGTGATCGCAATGGATCTTTTGGGTTCCGACATTTTATCTACGTTGTAAATGAAAGGACAAGTTTTGCATTTTGAGCGAGCGCAATTGAAATTTCCAAATTGGTTATTGGTTTGAAATGAACTCCTGACGATATTGACTAGAATCTGTCCAGCTTTTTTGGTACAATCTAATCGTGCCAAAAGTCTAAAAAAAACGCAAAGACATAGTTATTAAAGCGGCTGACAAACAACGACTGTTGTTATTCGTGCCAAAAGTCTAAAAAAACGCAAAGACACGTATTAGAGCGACCGACAAAGGCAGAGCAGTCGTCATTGGCGGGCCAACCTCTACCAAGAAGTAGCTTTGCGGCAACTTTCTGATACCTCTTTTTATGCAAAAGTTGACAAAGATCTCACTTTCATCAACCAAACATTATCAAAAACCCGATTAACGATCTTATAGCTAAACAAGAATTGCCGGCCACTGCAAAAAATTTCACCATCATCACTCCTAGAACTTCGTGTATTTACTTTTTACCTAAAATCCACTTTAGTTGTCCCACCGAAGTTATTTCCAGCTATTTAGAAAAAATTATGACAAAACCTTACCATCATGCATTTAGGACAACAAACTCGCAAATGAAATTTTTCGCGACTTTAATTTCCTTGCCCAACACAATGCACAGAAAGCATCTCATATCGACATTCCTATCCTGGCAGTATGCAGGAAGTTCAATGACCTACCCTACCAGGAGTTTCCTGTAGCCCGGTGGTAGAGCTTGCAAAGTTTTTGGGAGTCTTTGGAGTTTTTTTTTCTCTTAGTAAGCTGGTGTCACTCACTGAATAATCATCATCTTCCACCGAGGGTGGCAAAGACCATCAAAGGAGAGGGGGAAGCTCCTGATTCCGTTTCATTCTAAAACTTTAGAAAAATTCACGCTTCACCTTTACTTTAAACAGCATTTCACACGTCACGAACTTAAAAGGGAAAACTTTAATCCTCACCTCACCCCGCATTTCTGTAAAATTCACGCGTCACGAATTAACTTTGGGCTTCATCACGCGTCACGTAGAAACCCCCATTCAACGTCTGCACTGTGTAATATAACAGACTAAACTTTTACTTTAATTTAAACTGAAGACGCCAGAGGAGCTGTCGAAACTTGTCTTTTAAATAAAAAGGTTGCCTCATCTCTTAAAATTTCTGTGGTTCTAATTTTTTGGTTTCATAACTGAGAAACTCCGCGATCTAACTGATACTTTACCACACCCACAGCGCCTTGTCTCGGAACTGACACGATACGATTGCGCCCGGAACCGCTACAAGCTGCCCTCATATATCTATGATAGGATCTATGGTTACCTGAAAGCCAGACCTGACTTTGCTAACCAAAGTCAGTGAGAAATGTCTTTCATTACCTGCGGTTGAGATTTTTCAAGTCCGCCGAGTGTTTTCACCCTCTGAAACTATTATGAATGACTGTTGTCAACGCCTAGGTTATTCGTTCTGCTACCGTCTGTAATATCTGGTTAATGTGGGTAGACGATTTTAGCTTTGGTGAGAGACATCTTTGTGTATTAGATTCAACGAAAGATCTTTGTTATTTTACGATTACCGCGATGAAAAATTTTGTAATCAGTGCAGGTCTCACAAAGAAAGTCGCAAAGGCTGTGCTACTATAGAGACTGATATAGCGTCTTCCGATCCGGAGGAAGTTTTCACAAAGAAAAAACATCTTAAAGGGCCATTGAAAACTCAAACAACAAACAAGCAAATTGCTTAAACCACAGCTTAACTGCGAGTGACAAAAACGCGGTTGATTTAATTTTACATCTGATTGGTTGAGTGGGTAAAACGCGTTTTCTGTATCAATCACAGAGCGAAGTTAACCAGAAAACCAACGCAATCCCAAATTACTCTCTACAACTAACTAAAAATTTGTACATGAGACACTGACACAGCGCTATCTTTAAGGGTAGACACTTCAGTTACCAAAACATCAAGTAAAGAGTTAAAACAGACCCACTTAAGTCACTGTACAGACATCACCCTTCCACGCTGAGGTCATCCATGTACAACTCCTGCTTATAATTTTCATACAATTTTTATATAACAGGCTGCAAGAAAATTATTCGACTAACAAAAATTTTAGAGAACTGCCTCAAGATCGTGGCGAGTAAAAGTACTTGAGAGAGCGGAACAAGGAGGAAAACAGGAACAGGAAGAGTAATACGTGAGGAGGTGGGGCCGAAGGAACTACATGATTAACAAGAACAAGAACGAGATAAAGGGACAATTAAAATACTCACAATAAAATTTAGAAAAAGACCATACACTGAAAACAGTAATTCGTGTTGGGCCACAAAAGGAATATTATCAATTGGCTTATAGCCAGCGAAAGTGCTCAAAGTGCAAATAAATCAACGTATCACTGAAGAAAACTGAAGGCCGGTTATTTATAAGAAGTCTGACTTAGGCCGCGGTTTTTGGCGATTGAGGAACTCAAACTTTACTTTGAAGTGGGTTATTGGAGGTTATATAATTAACCTTCTTAAAATTGTGCACAAAAATCAATGTTTTGATAAGTATTTTGGCCATATTGAAGCTCGTGTAGAGCGCAGTTTTGTTAAACTATAGCAAGACTTTACCGGCGACACTTAAAGTTCTCGTTAAAATAAAGAGCACAGGGTTATTGCAATTGTAACATAGATAGCGGTCGAGAAATACTAAAAAATATAATTACTAACCTCGTGGTGCAATTAATCTTCCTTCCAACGTTTTCGTGCCGTGCTCCGAATTAACAACACAAGCCAGATATACTGAAGCCCCAGTTTGTATTGTACTTGTAGACAAGCTTGACCTAGCGACAAATTGGAAGGGCTTGATCAAATCGGTGATTGACACAAATAAGATACTTTTTCCGGTTGCTGTGCATCTTCCATTCTGAAAGAGGTCGAATATAGATAATGCAGGTCTACAAGTGGTTTTTTGATGCCTCTAAAGCCACGATTGTAGACAGATGATCGGCACATCTTACGATGTCTGATGAAAAAAATTAAACTATGCTCAATCAGATGTCTGTAGGAATGGCGCCAGTTGGAGAGCAGAAGCCCTCAGTCTTTTAAGTAACCCTGTAGGGATTGGTGCTCTCTGAAAGCCTGTGCTAATATGGCGTGAAATAACATGGGAAATCAAATAAACAACCTGAGGCTAGAACTGCGGTTGTGGTTAAAACAACGTCACTGATTAAAGAGAGAGCACTGTCTGACGACACAGAGGAACTGATAACTTCACATTCAATTTTATTGTTATATCTTGATACGTGAAAACTGATCATTACATACACTAGTCACGTTTTGGGGCGTTTGTCTGTTACAATATTAAATTTTTCGGTCGAAGACACGTGAATTGGATTCAAAACACTCCAGATCCTTATCGCTTCTTTCAACAAATAATCCAAAAAGATGTTGTTCATAATATGGATACATATATTACGAGAGAGATAAAAGCTTTTAATTTAACAGCCTTTTCCCTGTCTCAATTAAGAAATGCAGTAAACACAGCTAGACATAGTTGTTGATTAGTTTCAGCTCATACTGGCTTACGAATTTACTTTTTTTTTGTAAGGAAAAACTTCCTAAACAGAAGCGTTTCGAAAACACATTGGATGGACGGGGTCTTAATCAGACTAGCTATCGATCGCAAATGCTGCGATCAGATTGCCTTGCGTCTGTTCATTAATAGATCAAAGGTGACGTCAAAATGTGGTTAGGAAAAAAAAAATTACATACAAGGTGCAGCCGAGTGTATCATAAATGTTCTTACAAAATTTCGACGTTTTCTGTGACCGACTAATAAACAGACGCACGGAAACATGGAATCTATTTTTTTTATCAAGAGAAAACAATAACACCCATCCATTTCTCTTGTTTTTTACATAATAAAGAACCAAAACTTTGTTGATGGTCAGCGATGCATCTATCCTCCAATAAATCATAAACTGGAATTAATCAAAAGGCGTGTATCATTTAGCATGCTATGTAATATGTGGTCGATAGCGACTTAAGTCGGAAGGCTGAGACGTGACCCGTTTGTGTTATTATTCGCGTGATAAGGTTTGAACGACTAGAAGATTTATCCTAAAACAATTAGATTATTCGCTCTAAATTCTGTTCTTGACGATTAAAAATTTAAGCTCATATTCTAATTATGAGCTTAAAAGTGGAATAATGAAAGAATTAACGGAAGAGAAGATTAGAAATTCAAATTTCATCTGATATTTAGAAAGAAAAGTTAGTCTAAGACATAATGCATATCGAGAAAGTGATAGAAAAAAGTAGCTTTACCTGTACAAGAATACTTTCACTCCCGAAGTGTATGAACTATACTTGTTGCATTTTCAATTTTATAATTAACTACGAGCCAAATTTAACTTTTTTTTTTTTTAAATTAGCCTCTTACTTATCCCGAATTCTTTATAACGGTAGAGTTTTGTAACACATGTGATGGATGTGCGACATGTATTCGACCTTACTGTTCTTAAACTTTTACTACAGAAATATGGGGAGAAATGTCTGATTCAGCCTCCTCTTTCTTTGTTAGTTAAGATTTTGTTCTACTGCATAAATGTTCTTTTCACAATTGACTCAAGCTCAGTAAAAATAGATGCCAGCTTGGTAGAGAATCCTCGCGAAGCTTACATGGTTGAACCTCAGTATAACAAATTAGAGTTTCGAAGTGTTTTTGGTGTACGTATTCGTTGGGCAATTCTTCACTTCTAAATTACAAACAATTGCATAAGCACCTTGCCACAAGAAACCTCCGAGCAGGCTTTTCTTGCCAGTTTTAAGCGAGTAGGAAGACCCCAACCCAGGGGAGAGCTTGTTTTCAGTTAGACACGTGAAGTCGAACAAACCTTTAAATTCGTGCAAAATAGGAAAACCTTTAACAATAATGCATAACCAACTTAAGGCATTTCTATCCAATCAAACGCAGGGAAAACTTCTAACGTGGAGTTTTAATCTTTAACCGAACATGTTCGTGACATATTTGGGCTAAAAAGAAAGCAGTTGAGGACAGAGATGTATCTCTCCTATGAAACAAAGTTAAGTAGCTTTTATCTAATAAATTTTATTTCTACTCAGTCCTTGTCAAGATCAGATCCTCTCGCCATAACGAAGAAACTCTTCCCGGATGAGCCCTCAGTTGGGTCCTTCAGCGGAAATAGTAAGGACAGTCGCCCTTAATTTGGCCCCAGGCCTCTTCGAATAATGCGACCACATCTGCATGAAGGAAAATCAAGAGAAGCTTTTATTGGAGAAAATTCCAAGATAGTTTCAAGTAACTTTAACAGTATATTTCCAGAGCTAAAGCATCTTGCACAATAAAGTAGTCATATGTAAATCTAAGAACCATTCAGTTCACGCACACAGTTAGTCATCTACATCTTCTACAGTACGTTAAGTGGATCGATGTCAGGGCTTCTCGATTCGTGGTCGTCATACTATAAAGTAGACTGAGACTTTTCGACTGAGTGTCGTGAAACCAAAACGACCAATCAGAAGAAAGGAAAATAATTAAAGAGCCAATGAGAACTCAAAGTAAAAACAACCAAACTGCCCAAAGCGCGGGAAAACGCGGGCGACCAAGTCGTGATGGGCTTTAATTTTCCATTTGATTGGTTGAAACATTGGCGCGATTTTTTTGTTCCGATCTCAGAGCAAAGTTAAGGATTACTTTCGACACTCAATTGAAAATTTCTCTTAGACATAACAATGAAAAATAATTCGGTAAGTATCATTCATAAGCTTCAACACACCTTCATGTATGGGACCATGTTTAGCACTCTTAAGATTTTCTTCCAAATGTTTCACAGACGAAGCACCAATAATAACAGCATCTGAAAATAAAAAAAAAGAACTTTACCCTTGCGGAGACGTAAAATAACAGCATTTCTAAACCATCGGAGGAACAAACAGCTTCCTATCTTTTGAAAATTATTTTCCAGGACAATTACGAGACAGTTTTACACGCTCGTAGACATTCATGCAATTACGATCGACAATGATCGGGTGTAAGCATCTGAAAGATACCCAAAGCCTCCGTCAATGAAAATTTTCCACAAGTTAAGCAAAATATTACCTAAACAAGCCGCCTAAAATCATCAAGAAGTGTTTTACTTCGAGATTCCTCTAGCACTGTTTCTAAAGTTTACATCAAGACATTCCAATGCGCAAGGAATGTGGAAAAAAAGAGTGCTTCGATAGCGAAAGCAAAAACTGTACCTCCACAAGCACCGTCCATCTTTGAATGATGGTACATCCATCTGAGAGATGCGTCAATCAAAGTCACTTTTCCTTCACCATAAATACGATCCAGTGTCGTTCTGAGTTTGTCAAGTAAATCAAAGAACGGCTTCTTCCAAAAACGCTTCACGTAGCTGAAAAGAAAATGTACAGTTAAAGCGAAAAATTTGATTTGGCTTCGATGCAAAGCTGTCTATCACGTCTACACTTAATTCTAGTTTCCTTTCCAAGAAGTGAAAGAAGTTGCTTGATTCTTTAATAATCCGCCGAGAGCGTCCACTTGGCATTTTTGCCAGGTTTCCTCCACATATTCAACTGTACTTGTCTATACCTCTAGGTTAGGAGTGGCACTTTGAAAGCGAAATATCCCTCGAAAAACAGAACAGACGTGATCAGCTAAGACATTACTCACAACCAGAGAGATGATCCAAATGAAGAACGTTACGCCAAGAGGCATCTACGCACACTCGTCAAGTCTAAAAACTGTTCTTAAGCTTGCCTTCAGAAAGGGCGTCATTTTTCACGTCTTTCACGCGAGTGGAGGTAACCGTAAGGCGAGCCCGAAATGCAAAACGAGCCTTTTAAGGACCAATCTCTTACCCCTTCTAAAAATTTCCGATTATCACAACGCTCATTTTATCTTATTTCACTTCTACCGCAACCTTCGATTTAAGAAAGGGAGACGAGTTGAGACGAGGTTGTTGCGAAATTCCCGGAAATTTTAGGGAATCATCGGATATAATCGTTTCCTCAATGACCCTTCCAGATGTCTTCAGGATGAAATCCCCAAAAACTTTCAGAAAATCTCGGGTGTGTATCGCATTCCTCATAGCAACTCACACGTCAGCCCACGGGCCCGTGCCTCCATAACGGCCATGCTGAATAGTTCCGTTCTCTCTGTCTTCGTATCGATGTTTCCCTGTCAATAGTCCACCTGCGAGCTAAAACACAAGGAAACGACGAGTGAAATTTTGTTAGAACTACGATGTGCGAGAATGAGCAAAAACTACAAACCGGGTTGTACGCATAGAACGACATTCCAAGTCTTCTCAGGCAAGGAAAGAGTTCTCTTTCAACATCCCTGAAAAGAAAAAAAGTTGCAAAATGTTACACAGAGAATTGAGGGTAACACGTCTGACATGCAAAAGTGTCATCTAAACTTCTTCATATTCTCCTACCTTGTAACAGGATTGTACATTCCTTGATACACTTTAGGTAATGGATAGTTGTTCATCTTGCACAGGTAATAAATCTCTGCCTTTAAAGACACCATACTGGTTAAAACACATTTGATAACGTCTGTAATGGTTGTCATTAAAACGGATACTAGAATACCTCTTGCAGCAATTTTCCATAACACATTATACACAGGGAAACAGTTAGTTTTGTTTTCCCGAGAGTCCTGATGTTTCCTGCGACAAAGTCAAGGGAAACATTAGGACTTGAGGAAAACAAAACTAACTAGTTTCCCAAAGGACCACACATTAAGTGCTTTGCTATATATTTAGACTTTCCCTGAAACAATCATACAGCAAAAACATGCTGTTGTATTCAGCAAACAGGTAACAACTGCGCAATTGTATCCTGGTTGGGATACATTTGAATTTGACCAAGGGCATGTGACCAGGAATCAACCAATGACAGTGCTCGTTTTGTTGAGTGAAAGTCTAGGTATAGAACAAAACATTTTGTTGTTTGGAAAGTAAGTCAACATATAAACCCTTCGACCCCCAACAGTGACCAGCATCTAATTTCTCCTTACAATATCACCCTTGAATCACACATTATGCTCATGAGAATAAAGGAAATGATCACCAACTAAAGAAGCTCTTGATTATTAAACAAATTCTCCTTGTCAGCCTTTTAGGAAATGTATAGAGAACAGTACGGAGAATATGCATACTAATGTTTGGGTGTAAAGGGTCAAAAAAGCCATATCACTCAAACTCCTGAACTCTTTTATATTTCAGAAAGTATAACATGGTCATCATCTCAGTTTAAAACATTATGTTACCTTGAAATAAATAGCACATTAAGACATTCAACTGAAAATACAATTGACCGCTAACAAATGTCACTTACCACTTCCCATGAAGCATAATTGGAAAGACCAAAAGTTTTGAATTTTCCCTCTGAAATCAATAAGTCATTTTAAGTCAAAAAATAGTCATTAGACATTTCAGAATACAGCAACACATGCTATTAAACACATGAGTGAAGAGAAATCTGATTGATTTCAGGCAATAATTAGCCTTAATTACCTTTGTAAAGTTGATTGACAGCTTCAAGTGTCTCCTCGATGGGTGTGTTATGATCTGGCGCATGGAGGTAAAAAAGGTCCACAGAGTCTCTCTTCAGTCTTTTAAGAGATTCATTCATCTGCTCAATGACTCTGTCATACTTCAAGCCTGATGAAATAGAAAAGTATCCTTGAGATTTAACATCAGACATATAGACTAAATCCTGTGATAAGCAGATCACATTTTAAGTGCACAAATCTTCCATCAGGTGGACACAGGTCCAAATCCCAAGTTTGTCCCCTCATTTTTTATTAACAGACTATGACCGGTATTCTTTACAAATCTGGTTCCACATTTTTGTCTCATGGAAATGTAAGAACCAGAGATACTGTACATGCATACATGTCTATCAATACTGAAACAGACCTTTATCACTCCATGGATTAGCCTTTGTAGCAAGAAATACCTGGTGAATCAAAAGGTAAAGGACTCAGCTGAGGATTACACTGCTGCTTACCTTTGAGCTGAAAGAAAAATGGCTTGACAGAGTTGAGAGAAGGAATAATTAGAACATTGGTATCAAACCACAGATCAGCAAGTCCAGGTTTGTGCCTATAGCTACAGTCAAGGAGTTGTGCTAATGATCAATAACCATGACTCAAAAGGTACGTCATGCTACCCAAAAGTGAATCATAGTTCAAAAGAAAACATTAAAGGAAGTTTTACTACCCCCCTGGGGAGGAGATAGGTTTACTTATGCCTTCCCCCATGCTAGATGGTCTGAAGGAATGTGTTTTGTTGTTATGGACTTGCATCTCAGATAGAGAAGCAGTGCTCTTAAGTTACTTAATTCTTAAGGTGACCTGTGAGCCATGCTCCTCAAATGATGCTACTCCATCAGAAATATTCTTCAATTATCATCATCTTTCCTAGTGCCCCACCCAAATATATCAATGACTAACCAAATAGTAAGACCACAGACCTTGGGATCTTTAAGAATGTCCATTTCTCCCATAAATTCTTCACTCTTCCCTCCAGCATACCTGTAGTAGATATATCAATTTCCATAAACAATTGCTATAACATCTTATTCAGAAGAAACTTTGAGATGAAAGAGATTAAATGAAATTTTCTACAATGATACAAAGAAAAATGCAGCCTAACTTCATTAGAGCTATATTTCAGTCACATACAATTAAATTGTAATTGGTGTCAGATGAAAACACCACACCCTAATTTAATCATGTCATTTTTCCCCATTACTCATCTCCTTAAATGTATTATTATACTGCAGGAAGAAGTGACATGTCGATCATCCTGTGCGAAAAAGGGTAACAAAACTGTAATTGTAATGTAGAAAATTTCCACAAATTTTTTCACATAAGGCCAAACTGATCCAAAACACAAATTACATAAAAAATAATTAAATTTCTGATGTAAATGTCCTTAACCCTTTAGCTCCCAAAAGTAATTAACATGTAACTCAGTTCTCTCTAAGATATCCATACAACATCCAACAAACACTAAGATAATGAGAATAATCAAACTTATCACCAATTTCTTGTCACTAATTTACAAGAGAACATGTAGTAGCTAGAAGGGAGAATTTACATTCTGATCTTTGGAGATAAAGGATTAACTACTGATACACAAAATTAATAAAAGAAGTATACTTACATGTAAGCTGTGTCGAAATCGTACACGTCATTTTTCAGACAGATTTTAACAAACTCTTTGGACTGAAATCAAATTATTTAAATGACTACTAATTAGGTAGAAACTGAGAACGTTTAAACGTCTTAATTCAAAATTAAAAGACAAGTAAAGAATTGGGAGCTTAGCTTTTTTATACCTGATCGAAAGTACACTGCCGTCCAAATTCCATGCATCCAATCGACGTCTTCACAGGAGTAGAGGCCATGTTCATAAATGGCTTTAAAAATGTTAAATAACTCAAAAATTTTTATCACTGGAATCTTCTGAGAGGAAATCTGAGGTAAACAGTAGTTCTACTCTTCAAATTCCGCGGAGCCCTTTTGAGTCCACTATCTGTTTCGACTTAAAATGGAAAGGCCTGGTAACTTGTCTTCCGTGTCATGACGTATTTTTATCACGCTGTCCGAAAATTTGTTGTCACGCAATGTTGTGTCGAGTTGGTTGTCGGCTCAGTTCCCTAACAGTATGTAGACTGCTTTCACGTCATCTCACAAAGGTACGTGTTGGATCTCTTTGCCCAATTATGTTATATGACTCTTTCATCAGACTTTGATCAAAGAAATTGCGCGACAGTCGGTTCAAGATGTATGGATGGGTGATCCGCCATGTTTTTCGTGCGCGTCAAATTTTGCGCATTTCATTGACCTGACAAAAAAGGCCCAGTAACTTCTTGACAATTTAAAAGGAGCTTAATTTTTAGACGCACCCCTAAATCCTAACCATTTATTTCCTTTTCGCTGAAGAACAATCGTGACCAGTGAGAAATCTCGTCATTCAAAGCACACCGACCGACGCATATGTAAATATGCAAGGCAGTGGCTATGAAGGTAGAAGGAGAAACGGTGTTCTGTAAGTATCTTCGTGTCCCTTCCATCAAACATTGCCACTCAGTGTTCGATATTCAGTGTCATTTGTCGTTTATTTTTCAGATGGCTGCAGTTCCGGTCAAAACATCAATTGGGTGTATGGAGTTTGGAAGGCAGTGTGCTGCAGATCAGGTGTGGTCAAAGATACATAATCTATAATTATGGAAGATGCTGCACTAAGCCATCCGTTTCGCATGAGCTCCTGAATCTGAAGAACTTTTTTTATTAAAATATACGCTATACGAGATAATAAATTTGCGGTAGAAAATTTTTTTTTCGTTCTCTGAATATTAAATTTTAACCCTGCTCCCCCCTATAAAAAAAATTTCTCAGATCTATGCCTGCTCTGTAATAGACTTCTTCTAAGCCCCTTCCTCATAAAGAGTTTAGGTGTAATTCTCATCAGAGAATATTGATAAATTTTTTCAATTTCAGGCCAAGCAGTTTATAAACATTTGCATGGAACACGATGTCTATGATTTTGACACTGCTTATGTGTAAGTCATAGCTAGTAAATGGAATTTCGATTAAAAAGAGTTTAAGTTAGTTGATAGTAAATGACTGGAAAATGGGGTGAAATCCAAGGAAAATCAGATCTTGTTTGGGTTATGGGGGAGGAAGGTTCAAGCTAACTGCATTCAAGTTAGAGGGGTCTTACTGATTACATTTTGTCCCACATTTGTGCCCAAACAAACAAAACCCTTCCCATATGAACATGACCAAATTTTGTCTTGATTTTTAGGTACAGTGGTGGCAAGAGTGAGGAGATTATGGGAGATATGGACTGTTTGAAGGATTCCAAGGTATACCAATTGAACATGATAGAATTTATGATAAAAATTTCAACTTTTAGTGTCTTATGCAGTACAGAATGAACTTAGACATGGTTTGATGCTACTCTGGTTTAAAGATTTATTGATTGTAACTAAGAAGTTACAATTTATAGACCTAGCATTTTGACACACCTGTCAAGTGCCTTTATCAGGGTTGATCTGCTCACTGCAACAAGAGGTCCTGTTATATGCTCACTAATTACCTTTCCTTTTTCTGACGAGGAGTTTAACATGCCAACACTAGTGTCTAAATTCTGACAGAAGTGTGGAAACATTGAGTCTATAAATTATAACCTCTCGATTATATTCATTAAATCTTTAAACCAGAGTAGCATCAAACCATGTCTGATTTTACACCTGATTTTACACCTGGTTGCCGGTGAACTTGAATATAGAATGAGCTTACAGAATTTCTTACAGATATTTTTGTTTTCATTTAGGTGTTTATTGCCACTAAGGCAAATCCTTGGGGAAAAGGTAATTTTCATACCTTATCTTTGCTTATCCAGTGGATATCAAATCATTAATTTTGATGTATAAATAATGCTAACAAATGCTAGCATTTGGACCTTCAGCTCCTCATGGAGGGCTCATGCCATAAATAATGAAGACATTTGGTTATCTTTTTAGGTTTGAAGTATGACAGTGTGTTGGAACAGCTAAATGAATCTCTGAAAAGACTGAAAAGAGACTCTGTGGATCTTTTTTACCTCCATGCACCAGATCATAACACACCCATTGAAGAGACACTCCAAGCTGTCAATCAACTTTACAAAGGTAATTAAGGGACTAAAAAGTACTGTTTTGGATATTTGTACCAGGGGACCGTGGTTGAGCCGACCAAAATGAGGGATTGGTAGTTATAGGTGCTGCTGTTATGAATAGGAGTAGATGAAATTCATCAATTTGCAGCTGTTTTCATTCAAATTACTTCTCCATAACTTGAAAACTTCCTGTGGTACAGGGAGGTTAAACAAGTGCCCAATCTTAGACACCAGTTTATGATTTTAGACATAAATGTCCTATTTTAGACTCTAGAGTCTGATTTTAGACATAAGTGTCCAGTTCTAGACACTAGTGTCCAGTTTGAGTCACCAGCATCTGAATTAGACATAAGTTTCCAATTCTAGAAACTAGTGTTGGAATTTAATCACTTGTGTCTGGTTTTAGACACTAACATCTGATTTGAGACACTAGTGTCTGATTTAGACATGAGTGTTCAATTTTGGACTCTAGCATCAGAATTTAAACACCATTCAATTTTGGATGCTAGTGTCTGATTTGAGACACAATAATTGTGTCTCAAATCAGACACCAGTGTCCAATCTTTGAGACAAATAGTATTCTAATTTAGACACTACAGTGTCCAATTTTAGACACAAAAAATACTTTGTTAGTCCTCACAGGCATGTGGTATGTCGTTGACTTTCAGATGTGCGTGAGTTAACTCTTATTTAACGTAGTCTATATCCCCCTTTCTTAACAGATGGCAAATTAAAATCTTTTGGTCTCTCAAATTATTCTTCATGGCAAGTGGTAAGAGTTTTTTTATGTATAAGAACTTTTCTGAGTTCTTCATTTAACATTAGGCAGCCAGAAAGACATTAAATCCATATCTTTGTGTGCCTAAATAGCATTTTGTAAGGGGGTCATCAGCCCTATTTTACTTGATCTGATTATTTAGGCAGAAATTTATTACCTGTGCAAGATAAACAACTATCCATTACCAACTGTGTACCAAGGAATGTACAATCCTGTTACAAGGTGAGGGGTAAGTAAGATTTTTAGCAGATATTAAGTATGACAGAATATAATGGAGATTTGGCAGAAATTTACTATGGTTCAATGGCAACTGAGGTACCCAGACAAAGGAAACCATTCTGAGAGAAGAAGTGACACAAAAGATTCCAAATGTGTGTAAACATGTCACATGTTATACGATAAGCTGAATTGCACATCCATTTTGATTTGTTCTTGCCTTTAATCTATTGGAGGACAGACACATAGATGACATCACCTTTAAAAATATTTGCTTTTTTATCCTAAAAAAACAAATAGATTTTGTGTTGCTGTGGGTTTCTACAGTCATGTAATAGATCTCAGTCTCATGTCAAAATGTGGTAAGAGCATCAGTGATACACCCCACTGCATCTCCTATGCTACTTTTTTGCTCCTAGTGTATTTTGATGTCAGCTGGGATCTATTACTGAACAGACGTGTGGCAACATGGAATCTATTTGTTAACCCTTTAACCCTCAAGATCTCATTTAGTAATTTTCCTTACTGTCTGCCATACAGTTCTTGTGATGTTAGTTTGGAGAATTTGGTATTGGATCAACTTATAATCCCCCAATTGATATTTTTCTTTATTCTCATTACTTGTCTGCTTGATATTGTATTAATATTGTAAGGAGAAATTCTGTCTTGGTCACTCATGGGAGTTAAAGGGTTAAAAAAGAAAAAAAAAAGGAAATCTTAAGTGGTTGGTTGACTAATGATGTTTACAGCCCTTGTTGCCAGGTCAAATTTCAATTTCAAACCATTATACTTCTAGGGCTGATTATTAAAACAAATTTTAGCTGTTGTTTAACAAAATAGCGTTCTTAACTATCTTCAATTTAGCTAGACCCTTTATCTGAACACTTAGTTTTGTGAACAGTGTTAAAAGGGCTGAAAGCTAACGCTGGAAGGATATTTATTAAAGAGGAAACCTGAAGCCAACTACTTGAGTAAAACCGCAGTTTGGGTCAGACTTCATTTAAATAACCAGCTTTTAGCATTTGTTAAGTTATGTATGGGTACAGATTTTAGGAGTGTGAGGGGGAAGGGAAAGAAAGTGATATTTTCTTTTCAGTTAACTTAGAGATATGGTGACATGTGTTTTAATGCAGACCTACAAATTATTTTCAGGGATATAGAAAAAGAACTCTTTCCATGCTTGAGAAGATTTGGAATAGCATTCTATGCGTATAACCCTGTAAGTATTGCATGGCAAGAACTTCAGCTAAGGCATCAACCCATCGACCCCAAAGAGTGAAGAAAAAAGAAGCTAAATCTCGATATTGGGGATAAAAGGGAATGTAGGGAATGGATGCTGTTAGAGTCTTGCTTTACACAAAGAATGAAATTGTTATTTTTATTTATTTATTATTTTTTTTTTGCAGTTGGCAGGTGGACTGTTGACGGGAAAACATCGATACGAGGACAGAGATAGCGGTAACATTCAGCATGGTCGCTATGCAGGCACGGGCGAGTGGGCTGATGTGTAAGTTAGCTTACAAATTCACGGCAAATATTTCCCGAAGCTTTTTCCGAATCTTTTCCGAATATTTCCCGAGGGTCAACTAGTGCTAATAGCTTTTCGTGACTGCACAACCAGGGTGTTTGTCCTCTAGGCCTCATCCGACCGTTTGTACATCTAATGATCGTGAACATTTTACCTTACAGTTTTCAAGTCAGTGATTTATAATCCGTCTAAATCTTCTCCATATTTATTCATCCTTGTTTCTCCATGGTTTATTATTGCCTCTGTGGTGTTTTCTATCTTATCACGCGTATATTTATTATTCATTTACATGGTGAAGTTATTTTGGAGGTCACAAAATATTACTGAAGATTTTCTGGAGTAGACATAACACAAAGAATCTATGAGATTGCATTTTATAAGCTGGTTTCGCAACCACACAAGCGTATGGTCGGATTCTAGACTTCGAGCAGCCTCTCCCTTTCGGTGCTCGTAAAGTAGGGGCTGTAGACTCACTCACAAGAGTTCCGCGCGTCGCGCTAACATCGTTTTTGTTTTCGCTTTTTTTTTTTTGACTCGCGCGACAGATTTCGCCGAAAGGGAGGGTTTGTTCGTAATCTGGTCGGATTGTAAACTCTTAAACTCTGCCATTGAGCTACAGAGGATTTGTTTCTGCACACGCTTACGGTGGTTAGCTCGCATTTAATTAGTGCTTGTGCAGCTTTTGTTCAAGCAACAATATCCGTCAGCATTAAAAAAATACTAAATGGCCCAATTCATTAGTCAGAGTTTCCAAGTTGTTCGCACACAGTGGCTAATTCAAATCAACATTTTTTCCAGCTACCTGAAGCGTTTTTGGAAGAGGCCGTTGTTTGATTTACTTGACAAACTCAGAACAACACTGGATCGTATTTATGGTGAAGGAAAAGTGACTTTGATTGACGCATCTCTCAGATGGATGTACCATCACTCAAAGATGGACGGTGCTTGTGGAGGTACTATCAGTGTTTTCTCTGGTTTTATAGTACCATGGTAACTCTGGTTCCAATAACATTCTTCCAGCCAGATTCGTTAGTTTCTTGATATGGCCCAAGTAGTGACAGATAATTTTAGATTCGTGTGTTGTAAGTAGGACACTAAAAACGTCTGTGTCCCGATGAACGCTAAACCTTAAATAAGTTAAATCATACACGCGTTTTGTATGTTACTTAAATATGATCTTTAGGGGGACAGAGGCATAGATGATGTTTTGTGCAGATCTCCTATTTTGGCAGGGAATCGTCTTAATTCTCCTGCACAAACCAGTAAAAAACTAGGAAAGAAAGGGAAAGGAATTTTTGAAATATTAATCCTCAGATAAGTCCCCCTTAGGCTCCTGACACCGAAGTCTTCCTCCAGTTCGTAAGCTCCCCCCCCCCCCCCCCCCCCATTTAAAACCTCAAGTTTCTTACGAGCCCTCCCCCCCTCCCCTTTCCGCTTCTATTTCATTTCAGTGCTACTGGTTTTCCCATTTCAGATGCTGTTATTATTGGAGCCTCGTCTGTGAAACACTTGGAGGAAAATCTTAAGAGTACAAAACACCCACCCTTACATGAAGGTACCAGCAACCTCTGTTTACCATAAAATTATGTGGAGCATAATCGAACGGGTTCCTAAAAAGCGTAGCGGATATTTGTGGTATTATCGGTACGCTTCTGTCTCCACAAGGAATTATGTCAACACCGTACTTTCTCCATTCTCTGCAGATGTAGTGGGACTTTTTGAAGAGACCTGGGGCGTACTTCAAGGCGACTGTCCATTGTATTTCCGCTGAACCGAATTTTTAGTCACCGAAGGCTCATCTGACCTTTGTCTTCATGTCGTGATGTTTCCTTCACCGAGAAACAGATGTACGCTGTACATCGAAACCAAGAATTAAGATTTATATCAGAAAAGTGAGGAAAAAACAATAAGGTACATGCTATGGACATGAGAAAGAAGTGTGAGGACCTATAGAGACGTTTCTCGACTAAGTTTTACAACCATCTTCGGCTTGTTTGGACAGAAAACTAAGAAAATTACATCTTGGAACAGTGGTAATGAAAGGTTTTTAAACGGTCGGATGACTTGTTCTGGCTTCACTTGTCCGCTTTAGTTATAAAAAATGTTATTACGAGGGTGTTCAAGAGTTTGAAGAGATTTTTATTGCAATAGTTTCAATTTAGGTACCCATTTAACTGCAAGATGTCCCCGATAACTTTTAAGAAATAAGTGGCCTACTTTCTAAAATGATTCGATTGATTACAGCAAAGCATCCTTTAGTACTTTAGTTTTTTGCTATTACGCTGTGATTGGCTGACATTAAGTTCGTACTATTTTCGCCAATTACATGCTTACAATACTAAAGCCGATCGGAAACTTTGTCACACACATTTCCCACGCATGCGTACTTTCTGTGATTACCTCGGTAGTTTTGATAGTTGTCATTGGTCAATGTTATATTTCTTTCACGTGGAAAGTCACTTTGTTGTTGTAATTTTCTTTCTTTTTGACAGGGGAGGGGTAGGGGATTAACTTTTGTATCAACGACAGGATGTGGGTGGGTATTTATTTTAAAAATTAATCCCCCTCTTGGAAACCAATTATTATCATACTTTGACAGAATAAAAAATTTTCGCAACAGAGTTAGGCTACACTTGAAATTGCTAATATGTCAGAGGTGAATCGATGAAGCATTCGCGGCTAAAATATGAAATCTTTACCCGTCTAGTCCCTTAGTGTCTCTAATAATGGTCAGGAAAGCATGATAGGCATCAAGCAGCGTTTTAAATGTCACTTCCTAAATATTCCTAAAGAGCTTAACTTAAATTTTTGCCATTTACGTATGTGAATTGTTATGGTCTTAGTTCGCCTATGTTTACTGTGATGACGCTATAGGATTTTCTAATGATACATTGGTTCCCTGAAAATTATCACTCAAGACTGGAAAAGTCAAAAGCACATTCATTAACTGGCTCGCGCTCCACAGCTTCGACTTTTTCCTCTTCAATGAAATCCATAGGGGCACTTTCTTGTACCTTTTCTATTACTGGCACTGTTAGTAGATCCTCCACAGGGATCCCAACCTTCTCGGGTTCATCTTTGGCAATTTCCAGTCCCCTGTGGTAGCGAGGCTTTCTTCGTACTTCCAGTACAACTATCTCCTCCTCGAATTCATCATATTCCTCATCTTGTTCGTCTTCACTTTCTTCTTCCTCTTCCTCGTCTTCTGGTGTGGGAGGTGGTTGGGGTGATGGCGGTTTCTCTTCTTTTTTCTCTTTCTCTTTTTCCTTGACCACGTCTTCAAGACTAAGAATATCGATAACAGGCTTGTCCCGTTTCGTGACTTGAGGATGGATCTTGCTCTCGTTAGCAACAGGTTCTGGTTCCTTCTTGGTTGTGAAATCTCTTGGGTAATTTAGGTGAACAGTTATGTCTGAAGTTCCATGGCTTCGGCGTGTTGTTTCAGGCGAAGACTTTTTCTCCATCCACTCTGGGACGTGAATACGGGACTCCTTCGTCACAGCTGTTATCGGGTGGTCGTTGCCATGACCGGAACTCTTCGTAGAGTGCTCGACTACTGTCGTGCCTCCTCCGCCTCCAATCGTCTTGGTGAAGACCGACCGATGGTAAGATGTGCTGTTTCCGACATTGTCTCCTCCTGTTGACTCAGTACTGATTGTCGTATGGCCTCTGGTCGTAAACTTGAGGTCGTGGTTTCCAAACGGCTGCCCTTTGATGTCGAAGTTGATCTTACTCACTTCATCCGCTGGAGGCTTGTTGCCAAACTGCAGGAGCACTTCTCCGCTGCTTATCTCTTTAGTGGTGGGTCCGTCGTTGTTGGATGTCGTTCTCTTCGTGGTTGTTGTTGTTACAATCGTCTTCTTAATTATTCGTCGAACTCTCCGGCCATTCTCATCGACGAATTCCCTGACTTCCACATCCTCATCTTTGTCAACTCCTCCATGGTTACCTTCCATTTGTAATATATCCCTCGTAAGGTGTTTACCATCATCACCGTTATCAGATGTTGTTTTCGTCGAAGTCGTTGTCACCGTTGTCAGCACACGTCGTACGCGCCGTCCGTTTTCGTCCGTGTACCACATAGTATCGTCGTCTTCGTTTTCAATATCTTCGTCTTTTTTATCCCCTTCGTCTTTTTTATCTCCTTCGTCTTTTTTATCTCCTTCGTCTTTTTTATCCCCTTCGTCGTCCTTAACTTCTTCGTCGCTATTAGATTTCACCACTGTGCTTCCGTTTTCTTTCACGGTGTCTTCCGGCAACTCTTCGGGTTTTAGTAAGTTAATGTTTTCGTCTGCGTTCAAGTCTTTATCAGCGCCGTACGCGACTTTAACCCGCGGTTTTTCTTCGGGTTCGCCACGTAAACAGCACGGGCAACACCACCTTAAACAAGCTGTGAGAAAAAAAAATTACAAACGTCATCACCATTATTATTACTAACATCATCATCATTTATTAGTCACTTCAGAAGTAACATTTATAAAAATTCAATAGTATGGTAGAGAGGAGGAGACCCACAAGAAATCTTCAGGCTTCTGGGGGAGGCTAGCTTGGTTATTAATATGTTTGCAATTAGGTTGTGGATGTGCAGCTTGACCAATTCAGACTCATTTCATTTGAAATTCAATCATCTGTTTTTTTTTTTTTTTTTATGTAGAAAAGCTAGTCGAACCATTGATTGATATTGGAAGAGAATTCCAAATTTTAGGACCTCAGTGGAGTATTGTAAACTGCTTAAGATTAGAGAAAGATTTTTTTTCGTCTTGTCACGGGCGTAGGACAAAGAAAAAATTCTGAGTCCCCATGAGAAATCGAACTCAGACTTTCGGATTCCGCGCTCCAATGCTCTACCACTGAGCCACAGAGAGTTCGCGGTTGAGCATCGGAGCGCGGAATCCGAAGGTCTGAGGTTTGATTCCTCGTAGGGACGAGACGAATGCATCTTTTTCTATTTCTTTAGCGAGCTCAAAACTTACCAACTCTCTCATTCTATTTACTCAAGATTAGTTTGATAAACGTGAGTGGATAAACAAACAAATATTTTTAGTGGGTGCCAACAATCCATATATCCGCTTCTGAAATTCTATCACGTTTATTTCAGTAGTCGTTAATATCAATTGTGTCTTAATTTAAGGTTTTGCTGTGATGTGGTGAAGCTATGGCGAACATTACGTCAATTGATATCGCCTGCGCCAAAGGGTCAGTGCTTAACTGAGACGGCACTTCACCCATCAGATATTGGATCAGGGGAGATTAAAATAAGGCGGAATCATCTTAGATGTAAAGCTAATACAATTTTACACTCTCCGACAAGGAAAAAAAGTTTCATTCTCCTTCAACTTTTAGGTTTACAAATTGTACTGTCTCGTATTAAGTTGGACGTTGTTTTAACTTGTAAAATGTTTGATTTTGAGCTGTCGTCAGTGAAGCATAAATCGATCTTGAAAGTTTGAAAAAACACCGCAAACAATGGAGACTAAAAATAAACGTAGTATTCGAAATATCGCTTTCTACTCAAACGTGTGCGTCATTTATCTGTTCTCTCACTCAATTGGTTATGGAAAATTTGGGCTCTATGCAGCATTAAAACTTGTGCTTTTGCAGTAACTTTCGAAATAGCGGCATAAAAGGTGTATTTCGCTTACAGATAACTTGATTTCCGCCGGAGGCATCGTGCCATATGGCGAGCGAATACGATCTTGTGGATTTAAATCTTCCTAAAAAGTTCCAACGTAATAAAAATGTTATCTGAAAAATTCTCCTGACTTGCTCCTACCGAGAAAGCAATGGCAAAGAACTAAAGTATATCTAGCCCTCCACAAAACCAGCGGGATAAAACGATTTCGACTCTTATAAACACAATTGTACACCAGCGTGAGAATCAAAATAACATGTCGAAAATTCCTTGATCCGCAAAGATCCTCACTCCAGAATCTGAAACACTTAAGATTTTAAACTTTGCAACTCTTCTGGTGGCAAAACAATCCAATGTCCAAGGTGTATAACGGATGAGGATCTTAAAACCTACCTTTCATCGTAAATCAAGAGAATATTCCTTATTTACAATCTGACGAAAAGCGTGGAAATAACCGATGTATGGAAAGAAGTGCTCCCTATAATCCAGGGGGTTTTTGGTTAATCCCGTGATCTCGTGATCGTACCGTGATACACGCGAACTTTATATTTCGATTTTCGTCGTGCTCTGAACTGAAAAGGCGCGGTTTTGTGAAAGCACAGTGAATAATTTCGATACTTAATTGACAACAGAAGCGACCAATGAAGCGTGTGAAAATCTGCGAATGAGCTAGACGTGGTGGACCACGTGTAAATACCGATAGAATGCTGAATTTACGTGGATTTACGAGGCGTCCACGAACTACCCATATACACGCGATCAGATGCTGTTAAAATTTCGTGGTTATGGTATTAAGAATTCCACTGCGGTGAAATTTTTAGGCACTTTCATTTTGAGTTCCCAGATCTACACGCATCATCGTGCCTTGACGCCCATAATCTTCATGTATAGAATGCATTTTCATGCAAATTTTATTGCTTAACGGTTCTTTGATTGATTTACACGTGAAATCATCCGTGACAGCATTGTGTTCACGAAAGCATCTGAGGAGCAACGGCTTTTAAGAAGTAATCTCATAGTTTGTTTATTTATTTATTTTTTTTGAATGAAGATTAAAATAGTTTTTAGAAATAAATTTTGCTACGCAACTCAGGTAGAAATAGGTAAACCTCATATGCCAAATTCTAATTATATCCTAACTTCAGGTCATGTCGAGGAATCAATTCAGGAATGTTCGCTTAAAATCATACCTTAATCGTCCTTAAATTTAGTTCAGTTGCAGAATTTAAAGTACTGTTTTAGTTAAAGTAAAACGATTCATACGACGTTACATTCGAAATGCCTGACAAAGAGGAACAAGTCTTACAGTTTTTGCGACTGCTATAGCAGTAATTACAAACCTTGATAATGAGGTGAAAAAAAATCGTGCATAAATCTTACGCAGTAATGAACTTTACTTAAATACTTATCTAAAAAAGGTTGGATAAATGATTGAAAAGCTCACCGAAAGGAATTCCAAACCACACCGCCGACCTCCTTGCGGCGTACCGAGGTACTCTTGCAGACATGTTGTATATACGATGAGGTCTTCTTTACAACTTTGTTATAATTATAACAAAAGTGGGTTGCTCAATTTATGAATATTTATATGTAATTTAAAAAAAATGGTACGATGTGTCCGCTGCACAATATATTTAATTTTACCAACTAAAAACATAAGATAAGTGATTATCTTTACCATTTTTGTTTTCTGTAATTCAAATCAAATTTTGAAAAACATTTTTAAGAGCTAAAAAATCAACAACTAACTTTTATTGATTTTATGCATGTCTTTGTTTAGGAAAGGATCGTGAACTTTAGAACAAACCAGAAACAATAGGAAAGTTGAGTAACAAGAAATATAAATTTTTCTCTGGGCTGTTTCCTTGTGTTTAGCGGTTTCTAAAATTCATTAAACCATTTTTTGAAGAACTGACGATTCTGGAGATATGAAATGCATTTTTTAAATTACTTTTGTTTCGTGTATACAACTTGAAAACTATAAATTAT